TTGGTAAAGTAGTAGGTTTCAACCTTATTAACCACAGATATCATACATGTATCCTTAGACGGATTCCTAACATAAAATAATCCACATTTGCAATATTCATTTCTATCTGATAGAATAAAGCTTATTTACCAAACGATCAATTATCAGAATACATAACATCATCAGTTCTGATGATGAAATTAGACTTTTGACTTTCAAGATGTGAAGTCTTTTCAACTTTGAACCTACATCCTAGTACCCAACTGATGTTTCATAAAAAAATAATAAATACAATACAAATGAAAGCTTGTCAACAATTGGTTTACATGTATGATAACGGAAGCATATTGGGTAAATATTCTGATTAATACGATTGGCTTCGTTAATAAATTTCATTGAAATAGTTTTCTCCAAAATGTGATATATGGTTGTGATTCTTAATTTAGGAAATAGTTTTTCAGGAGTTTTTTTAGCATTGAAGAGCAATGGTCAATGAGCTCAACAGTAGAGTACTCGCTTTTAAGTGCGACTATGATCTTTTATACATTTAGATGAAGCAACAAATTCTCTTTAATATTCCTTTTTTTAGTAGAATTTTGAGTTGATCCTTACCGGATCATTCAAAAATTGTTTTTTTCTTTTGTCTTACTCCAAAAGAAATTCACATTTACCATTTTGGATCTAGTGAATAAGTGGATAGAGCCTTTTGGTCCCAATTCTTGTTTAAAAAAAAGCAATGATATCTAGACCATTCTTGAGTGTGTTGACACATATTAAGTAGTTCTAACAGCAACTTAAGGAGTGAAATCTAGTCTTGACTCTCAACTGACTAGATATGAAAGTCTGGTTATCCTAAATTAGCATTTTACCTTTTTTCCATATAAACCAATTTCTGATTTCTTCTATAAGTTGGAATCGCTCTATAGTCTTGTTATGTGAAGACTGTGCACAGTGCATCTATATTTTTCTAGACAAGAAACTTCCGAGAGAAATATGACTTCATTTGACGATCTTCCCTGCTTCCATAAAAGTTTGTCCAATTTGATGTTTGTTGATCTTTTCTTTACCTCTTGTATGCTTTTTTAAAAGATTGTATTTGATGATCTAGACAATGATTTTCATATATCACAACATTAGATTTGATGATGAAGTCACTCATTCAAAGTAATTTCATTTTGTCTTCTTATGTTGTTTTTCTTGTTTGTAGCCGCTTCGTACGAGGAGTCAGCTGTTTATAAAGGTAATCATCATATTAGTTATTTCGGCACTTCCTTAATTTACTATTTTGAAAACATGCAAATGTTCAATTGGAGGATCTTTCTCTCCCCTGCCTACAGACCAGGTAGTTTTGGGGATGAGCTTAAAGTTTTGAACTGTTTAACATGATAGCATAAAAAGAAGGATTTTTGGATTTGGTTTTTCTTAAACTTCAGGTTTGGATTTTGGGTTCATTATCCTGGTATGACGAAAATGTCAAACCTGACCTTAATCTTCTTTGATTCCCTATCTTTATCCGCCTCAATCCCTCTCCTACTTTCGTCTGCTCAAATTTCTCTTAGCCAATCCAAGATGAAGCAATCTCTGCTCCTTCCTACTGATGCGAACACTCTCAACAAATGATGAAACAAATAAATGTAAATATTAGATTCTGTGATGTACAAGCAAGAATAGAAGATTTAATCTTGTTAACTGTTTCATATTTGAATAGAAGATTTATTCTTGTTAACCGTTTCATATTTTGACGGTTGGATGTTATATTGGTTTCTGCCTTGACACCTTTGTAAGTTTCCAGCAACCGGTTATCTACCTTAGATTCATAGGCTTAATTCTAGTTACCAAAGTAAACCTTAAACATATTTTATGTTCCCTCATATGATTTCTTTGTGTGTGCCTTTTTAAGATTTCGTTTAGGACACATATATATCCCATCCTACTATGACTCCTTAATGCATCCAGTTCCTCATATATGTCTCTAAGAAACTACATATAACCACAAAGTATGATATGCTTCACAGGGGAAAACTACATATAACCATCAAATATGAAGACTTCGTTAGTTGGTATTGAATTTGCCTTTTTTTTGGTAACACATTCTTAGGAGCAGCAATGCATCTGAGGTGATCATTCATCCTAACGGAGTACAATGTTTAACAAAGAATTGTTAAGAAGTGCAAGTTGGGAATCACTGGAACATGAGTGAGTGTAAATGTGCACAGACACAAGGTAGAAAGACCTAACCCCACCCAATAATCTCTATCAAAAGTATTCATTTTACATCATGCAGTTGGAGGTGAAATAACTAAATTTCTCCTGCACCAAAATCATCAGACTACAAGGGGAGTCTGTCCAGGGAAAAATTGGAATGGCTTCTTGTAAAAAAAAATTCTAAGGGAAGAGTTCGATGTCAATATCCTTTTTGGACATTGTATATCTTATTGTATGTTGGCTGGAATTGTTTAGGGGTGTGCCAAGGTAATTTTTAAGTCAATAGTTTGATACTACGGTGAATGTTTCTCATATGCTTAAGTCATAGTTTGATACTATGGTGAATGTTTCTCATGTGCTGCTCTCACCCCTAGTTATGTTAGGGAACAACTGCTTGTTTGTTTCCTAGCTAGTGGGACCAGTTGCATGATTGGGTTTCACAATTCCAGTCATAGATATCGGCATCTAAGAAGAATTGGTACTCGAATTGTCACCACCACTACACGTAACAACATTGTATCTGTTTATTTCTAGAAAGGGACAGCTTAAAGTGCCTAATTATCATGATGGAATAAAGAATATATATGATTCAGATTCATGGGTGCAGAAAGCAATTGATATCTGATTTTGTTATTAAATATCAAGTCCTTGACTTCTTCATCTGAGATCTTTCACCACTCCGTGTACATTATTTCATACAATGATAAGTGGTCAATGATCAGTGTGTATGATTTAATATTTTTCTATGAGTCCACTGTTTTCCTCAAGCATGATGTTGTTTCTTAGAATTAGAAGTTCTATAACATCTAGGTACCTAATGATTTCCTCTTTTCTTTTGTTTTTACAGTTTATTGGGGTGCTTTACTATCAGCTGAAGCATGGGTTTCGTAAAGGAGAAAACAACAAAGGGAATAGTTTGGAAAAGGGAAGCTCTCTCTTCTTGGACGATGCTTGGTTCTCTAAGGACATTTTTCTCTTCCATCTGTGCAAGGTACTGCAGTTGGATTTTTTTTCCTTAATGGAATGCATATCAACCATAATCACATCTCAGGATCTGGTATTAAGAATGGGATCACTCTTGGACGTCAAGCTTGATGGTTTCTGAATGAATAAATACTCAAATTCTGGTAATCAAAAACCATTTAGCTTGTAGTTCTTTCACTAATTGGTTGAGTTAGTAGTGTTCGCCTTTTCTTCCCCACTGAAACAGTAAGAGAAACTTTGGATCATGAATTCATGATCAATGCTGATCAACTAGTTTGCTCAGGTGTTTCCATAATATGGATCTTCAATATCTTGCTTAATGTTTGAACATGGCGGTTTTTGTTTTCCAGGAATTCTTCCCTTTGGTGTTAGAAGCCCAAGTTGTTGATGGGGATCTTCTTCAATGGGTTTGAATACTTGCCGTCTCATATTTACTTATCTGATATATTATCTCCTTTCTTTTTACAAATGTTGTGTTCTACCAGTCTTTAAGCCAGTAAGTTATTAACTTAGATCTATTTATAAAAAATAAAAATAAAAGAAGAAGAAGAAGAAGAAGAACAGTAGAGGTAATGACCCTCAACTAATTTACAGTACTGTAGGTAAAAGCTTAGTTTACCCAAACATAGAGTGATAGAATTATAGAAATAGTGAGTTACATGCTTATGTCCACTACCACTTAAATTATAATCACCTTTAGGGATCTTGATGTCATCCCTTATGGGGTATTTTGGTCTTTCTTAAATTAATTTAATTTCTATTTAACTTAATGATGCAGGTTACTAGGAAACATTAGCATATGATAATGCTTACCTTGCCATTTTCCTTGCAGACGAGAAAACTTAAGGGACTACTTGAGAGAGTACTTGGGTGGGAATTTCAATTTAATGCTGTTGATGCAATGGATGATGAAGAAGATGATGAGGTTGGCTTAGTATCATTTACTTTCCATACTAATTAATTTTTTTCAAACTAATGTTTTAAATTGTTGAATACAACTGATTGCAGTTTGCACCTGTGGTTGTGCTTCCAAATGATGCGATACCTAGCGAAGACCGGGCTTCTTAATATATGAAGATTGAAGGGATGTTTTGATTGTTGTAAATTTCAGATAATGAGCTTCAATTTGAAAATCTAGTCTCTAGTTGCATTTGAAGTAGGATTCTGCTTCTGTAAGCCGAGTGTTCTTTTGTATATGCAAGAAGAATTCAAGCAGCAAGGCATTTAGGTAACTTTGTTAGTGCTTCGATACCGACAGTTGGTTTCGAGAGCAGCATAATCGGTTTGTGTTCTACAAAGAAGAGTCCCAAATTATTGTGTATGGTCCTGCAATGAATGAAATTTCTGATCTCTGAGATAGAGACTATTTGTACAGGTTGTCTTGTTGTTATCATATGAGGGGGTTGAATGCTGTCAATATTTATAGGAGAATTCGTATGATCAAATGCAACCTCTAACAAGCAAAAAAAGTGGGGAAAAACATTTTGTTTGATCAATGGCCAAATTATTCTTCTCTCACAGTTTCTTCCTCTGTTTCTTGCTTTATCCAGTCCATGCCTCACATCCTACGAAACCCTTCTATGTTTCAGAGCTGCAAAACATATGAGGCATATGACGTGTACCAAGTGAATATTGTTAATATACTCATTTTTATGCTTAATATTTTCGTATATAGTCTTGTTGTCTAGCATGAGATAATGAGTTCCTATCCAAATTTTATGTCAAAATACTGCAAAACACAAATATGTAATATTTAGTTATGTTTTCATTTCCTTGATGCCACCTTATGTTTAGGGTCAACTTATATAAATCACCTTATGTTGTCAATTTATGTATATATTACCTATAAAGTTTTTCTTGCGAATCAACCACCTGACTCTACCTTCTTGCTAAATTTTTTTTAAAAAATCCCAACAATACCCTCATTTAATCTAACGCGGAAAACTTGAGAAAAAACCAAACAAGGTCATGTGCTTTACACGTGTGATTAAGTGACGGTATTGTTGAGATTTCAAAGAAAATTTAGCAGCAAAGTGGAGTCAGATGATTGATTGGAAAAAAAATAACTTTATAGATAATTTATATTTTCAAATTGAAAATGTAAGATGTTATATGTAAATTGACTCTAAATATAAGTTCTGGGAAGGGGGAAACAAAATGTATTTAGTTAGCTATGTGCCCATCATATTTAAAAAACAAATAGGCCCGGGCCATCAACTTCCAAAAATCCCTCTCCAAAACCCAAAACCCAAAACCCTCGTCCCTCTTCCTGTAGTAATCAATTCAATTCAACAGAACAAAAAAGCGAAAATAAAAATTAATGGCTCGCCAATTGTACTCGCCAATTGTATCGCAGACTACCTCTCCCTTCTCTCTTCTCTATACTCTCTCAAAGGTTCGTATCTTTTCCCTCTAATTTCTCTTCTCCTTAAACGAGCTCTCATGTTTAATTACTCAAAAAAATCGTAGTTTGGATGCTTCATATTGCTTAGAAGTTGCCCATTTGAGAAGTAGCAACAAGATAGGATTCTGGGTTCCTACGGCGCAAGGTATCGTCTCTATGGTCTTTTCAAGTTTTGGTCGTAAATTTGAAACTTTGAGTTAATTTCTCAAATGGGTTTGGTTTAGATGGATTACAGAGGGGAAACTCAGTGCACATCTTGTATTTGTGGTATTGTCTGCGTGATTTTTTTTTTAAAATGTGCATTATTGATTAATTAATTAATCTCTTTTGTGAAGTATGCTAAATTTTGAAGAATATGTGAAGGAGTTATTATTTCATTGGATTGGAGCTTATAGCTTGAGGTAAAATCTACATATTATTGATATGACATCTTTGTTCAGTATAGAAAGTGTCACTTTAAAGTTCAAAATCCTTACTTTACATAGTGTACTGTGTGATTGCGGTGGTATTCAATCATATATACTTGCTGAAGGACTATCGATTTTTTATCATAGAAAACCAGAGGCTCATAGTTGGAAGCTCTCTTAAGTATAGGTGTTTCCTGCTTTTGTTCATTTCATTTGTTTTGTTATTTTTTGTTAATGATTCTTTGTAAATACTGGAGCTAATCATTCAGTTATGTAGTTTCGGTGGACATATGATCGTTTTGCTCCAATCCTTCAATAGATCCTTGGATCACAGATTATCATATGTTCAATCCTTTATCATCAAACTCTTGTTTACTCATGTGAACTTAAAAGACTAATTTTTTTAGATATCAACTAATATGCTAGGGGCTTGGGTTTATCCATTGCTGATTCAATTCTGCTTAGCCTGACTGTGTCTTCCCCGAGAAATATGCGAAGGTTTTATTTTTCCACAATATGCTAGAGTATTTAACCTTTCATAAATCATTGCAAGTATGTAATATAAAATATTACGTATAGCTACTTAAAGACTCATGTTTTTGCCTTAGCTGATGAAAATTAATGCTTGATAGTTGATGATGGTATATTGGTTGCTTAAGTTAGCTAACTGTCTTGAGAGATATCTAATATTTCTTGAATCATCCAACTGTAAGTTATTGCCTGAATCTCTCTTTTACTGTACTTCTTTCCCCTTCCCTTTAATTATAAGTACCAAATGTTAAGCTGTAACCGTTGTTTTGGATTGAAACCCACAGATGCGATGGTCTTTCTGTTTTCATTTATTAATGTATGTGACTCATACAATTGCACATCATTTCTGTTTTCATTTCACATTCATCAGTCCATTTACCTTTTCCTCCATAATTACTCTATAGAATAATCAGTTCCATAAAAAACAACAAAAGGCATAATAAATTACGTGATAGAGGAAAGCAGAATAAATTATGCACTATATGGCAATCTACATGGTATGATGTGTTAATGATCATAAACAGTTTCACAGTTTCGCTATGTATGACTTCTTAGTGATTAACAGTCGCAAGTAATTCCAGAAAAATCAAGGTTTAGTTTTGACCCTATTTTATCATCCAGTGTCAAGGCTATACACTCGAGACCATAAAAATTATGACTTATTTGGGAGCAGAAGAGCACCAGGCGATCAAGACTTCAGGAAAGCGTGGGCTGAGGAAATGGATGATGATGACTGCCTCTGGACAGGAAGCGACGAAGATGACACTGAAGAAAATGCAAAACATGAGAGGAATTTAAAGAAGGAGATGAAAAAAGTGCAAAAGCAAGCAAAGGAAAATTCTGAACTCATCGATGCAGATGACAGTGATGAGTTAAGAAGCCTGTGCTCAGAAAGTGATGAAGAGGTAACTCTCTGGAGCGGTAGTGAATGTGATGATGACGATGATATTCCTACAGAACCCCATCCAAATGAGCGAAGTGATCCGCATATAGATAAATTATTTGAGTTTGAGGAGACGCCAAAGTTTCGAACCCTTGCAGAGATGTTGAAAGCTGAGAAGGAACCTCCAGAGTTATCACCGGGAAAACAAGCTAGAAAACTTGCAGTGGAGAACGCATTGAAGAAATTGAAAAAAGGGCCAGATGGACGATATATAAATGTATGGGAGGTCATGAGTGATATAGATATACTTATTGGAGCTTTTGAGAATATTGTTTCGGGTCCTGAGTATGCAGAACTGAGAGAGGGTGGGCCTAAGAAGCTAAATATGCAGTTCTTTAAGGATATACAGGCAAGAATGAGGGATCCAAACTTTAAGTTTTCTCCGGAACTGAAGCTAAAGCCTAAAAGCAAGTTAGTTCCAAGAAAGAAATGGCAGAAGGCTCAAGCTCGAAGGAGGAAAAATGAGAGGAGGTAAATAATGCTTATTTCCTGCTAAATAGTAAGGGATATAGATCGGTTTCTGGCAGCGATACAGTTGTGAACTCTGCCATGTGCAATATGACATTAGAAGGGGGAACATAGATAAGTTGGGTGGAAGAGAACGTAAACGTCTACTTACGTACATGTTAGTTTTATACCTCGACCCCGGTGATTATTTACTTTCTAATACATATAACATGCTTTTGGTGTTCTTCCATTTACCTATTAAGTGCATGAAAATGATAATGCAAGGTAACTTCTGTAGGATCTGTATTTGAGTATTTGCATTAATAGGGATGACCTCTAGTCCTTCCTTGAACTACTTTTCGCTGTATGTAATCTACGTGCACCTCGTATGTGCCCGTATGATTTTGATTTCTTAGTCTTTGTTGTCCATACCATCGGTTG